CAATCGTTGACGCAAACGAAAAAGTTTAGAATTAATAAACCCTATCGTTTCTTCCCATCTCTCTTGATTGTTTTCAATCATCGCAACTATTATATACCCTCGTGATATTTGTTATCAACGCACCTACGCAAATTAGGAATCCTAATAAACAAATTCCTACTATTTGTAGAATGAGTCAAGAAACTGCACGCGGACAAGATAACCAAGTGCAAAACAATGGACACACAACGGTTCATATTGAAATATCGAATTTCACTCTTGTTGTCCGAAAAGAACCAGACAATCAAAACATCCACCAAGATATTGAAGGTCACTCTAATGCTTATTCAAGTATCAAACCCGATACTAAGGGAAAGAAGCCTTTGGTTGGAACGTGTAGTGCCCCACCCTCGAAAAGAAGGAAACCTTTCAACTCACCACAAATTAAGAGTGTGGAAACATCCAAAGTGTAACACTTGTAGAAGACATCATCCAGGAGAATGTTGGATGACACAAGGATTATGTATAGGTTGTGGTAAATCTCGGCATTTCCGAAAGGAATGTCCTACAAAACCTTGGAAAAGCAATGCTGATGTCCCTGTTCAAAGTCATTCTACCTCAGCCCGACTTGCACCAGCAGGAAATAACCCACCAACAAAATCATGCACGTGCGTATGCAGTGAAAGACCGCGTTGAAGAAAACTCTAGCGTCATCATTAATATATTTCCTTATTCGATAATTTATAAAATTATCCATGTACTGATCCGGGATTTGCACTATCTAATATCTATGTAATTCCATGTTGAATAAACATCCGTTGATATTGAAAACTCAAGGATTCCTTAATAAAGAATCATTTGATCAAGTGTTTCTCTTTGAATACCTGTTTTGTTCATACGCAAATCAATGAGACTCTATATCAACTACTGTCGATTGAATAATTCGTTATCCTTTACCTCGTATCATGACTTATTTGATCAGCTAAGAGAATTCATTGTATTCTCTAAGATTGACTTACGGTCACGATACTCACAAATCCCTGTTAAGAAACTTGAACAAACTAACGATCAAGAATTGCTATCCTTTACTATGAACTGACGACTTATTTGGTCAAATTCAAATAACTTGCTTGTTGGAAGCTATAGACCGCTCAACCTTGTTGAATGAGCTGATGCCTTGTTATAAGCTATTAATGACCTAATTGCTTATCATCGAAAACGTCGATGTAGTCTAATCAAATAAATAAAGTAAGAGATGCTGACAAAACAAATCATTATGATAGTTGACTCGTTCGTATACCCTATTGACGTGAAAGATTGCGACGTGGTGACAATACAAAACAAGATGAGAAACAGCGACACCAACAGTGAAAGACTGAAGAATGAAGAAAGTGTAGCTCCCACTAGCCATACAGCCTAGGAGAATATTTATGGATAATATCATTGCAACACAAGATACAACTAGGGGTGTTCATCGGTCCAAAACCGGACCGGACCGAAAACCGAACTAGGCTAAAACCTAGACCGAAGACTGGACCTAAATGTAGTCGGTTTTGGACCGGACCGACCCGAAATCTTATGGACCGAACCGGTCCAGACCGTAAAGACCGAATCCAGGGGCCGGAACTGAAACTTTCTCTACCGGCGAAACCTTAGGTATGGAAAATTGGGGATTTTGCAATTTCGAACCAAATGCTGCAATTGAAGAGTCGGGGTGGGTCGTAAGGATGTTAGGAAGATGTCTAGGTGGGTGCGCGACGTCGAATTTGCCGGAGGTGGCCGGAATCTGCAAAAACCCCCCCAGAAACCGCCATGACCGGTTGCAATTGATTCCCAGCGATTCCGGCATCCAAATCCCACGATGCTGGTGGCGATGGGGTCGTATGGACCTCAGGAGGCATTTGGGAGTGGTGGGGAGGCTCGCCGCTGCGTGTGGTGGCCGGAGCAGATTGGGCAGCGGCATGGACGGCGGCTGCTGCGATAGCCGATATGCCGTTTCCTGGCAGCTTTTGCTGTGGTGTTTGGGTGCAATAGGATCGGCGTGATCCAAGGAGAAGTTTGGTGGGTGACCGCCGGACACAATGTAGAAGATGTTGTCCAAGAAGGCAGGAAGAAGATAAGATCTGACTTGAGTTGGGTGGGGAAGAAATACGGAGCTAATAATATTTTCGGTCTTTTAGGTCTAGACCGAATGATATTCGGGTTTGGACCGGACCGGACCGAAACCCGAAATTGTAAAATTGGTGGACCGAAGACCGACCCGAAATCCAATCGGTCTGGTTCGGTCGGTTTTTTTGGTCTGGACCTAAATATGAACAGCCCTAGATACAACTTGGATTACAAGAGGAAAGTTACAGATGCAATTCTAAGTCTAGTCTTCCAGGATTCACAAACTCATCGTAATTAACCCCTGGACCCGGGAAAGCTTTAGCAAACTCTAGTTTGTCGAAAAGCTCATCAACAAAGAAAGAAGAAATGAAAAGTTTTCTCTGATTCAAAGCCATGAAGTTCTGCCTCACCGCATCGTCTAGAAATTTGATTAGGTTATTGAAATAACCGTCAATATTCAAGAGACCAATGGGTCTATTGTGTAACCCTTCAGAAGCCCACGAGATCAAGGTGAACAAACCTTCCATAGTGTCAACTCCTCCGGGAAGAACGATGAAATCTTCCACAGCATGATTCATCTCAAAATATTTGTAGTAATTACTGGAAAGTGTGTGCTCTACACCGTACGTAGGTCCATAGACCCGTCGTGTTGCTATGTACCCAGGAATGAAACCTCTAACGAGACCACCATTGGTAAAGACTGTTGAAGCAACAGCTCCTTAAAGGCCAACACTACCTCCTCCATAGGCAAGTTTAATCTTTCGCCTTATCAATTCCCTTCCTAAATCTACCGCAGTAGCCATAAACTTTGGATTTCTACCAAGAGAATGACTGCCAAGTAGACCAACAAATCTTATGGTGTAAGGAAGTGTTCGAGAAATTTCTTCCATAATGTGAGAATGTGAGATACTCTTTCCATAATCATGATATATATAGTCTCTGAAACCTGACCAATGATGGAAAGGTAATTATCGCCAGCCAAAATACGTACAGTAAAATGGAATCAAATTACATGTAGACGAGAACGTACTCGCTAATACTCTAGTCTGCTGATGATATGACGTATTGAGACTCTTGAACAGTTAGATTCGCTATCCTGAAAAACGTTCAAATCCGAGACAAAAAGTCAAAACGACTATTTCCTAAGACAACGACCTCTTGAGTAACTTCCAAAGAGTGAAACATTGAAGGAAGAAAACCTACGATTAGTAACGGTAATTCGCAAACACTATCTTGACATCTTGTGACTCATATCCTTGAATTACTCAAACTTGCTGTGTTAACTACACCCTTGAAACATCCCGCTTGATCAATCTTGAAAGGATTGAATTCCATTCTTTATATCAAAATAATAAAACCATGATTCTTCATTAAATGAAAATATGTTTTATGATACCAATATTTGAAAACTATATCCTGTGGTGTACGTGACTCGATCACAATAGTAAAACTACATTAACTTGAACATTATTTTAAACCTCTCTTGTAGACCTCAAAACGATCAATACGATTGCGTTATCTATAAATATTATTATCGATGATGATCAAGGAACTCCGTTATAACCCTATCAGTGGAATGTATGTGATTTAGGGTTTCATATTTTTAATGAATTTAGGGCACTTTGATTTATATTATATAAATAACTAATCGTGAGAATTTTCTATTGATGTTTTAGAGGTGTCAGCATGTAGATAGGAAGTGATTTGTACTGCAGATTTCTAAAAGGCGAAATTTGGTATGAATATGATGGGAAACATTTACAAATAGAGTTTCAAATATATGATTATGTTTTGATTTTCAATGGGGGGTGGGGAGGCGGTTCATGTAAATTATCAAGATCAACATTAAATTTATTATTATGTTGAAGATTTATGCGTGGGTCTGTGTTATTTAGGGTTGTTTTATGGAAAATTTAGGGATATTGTGATTTAGGGTTTCATATTTTTAATGAATTTAGGGCACTTTGATTTATATTATATAAATAACTAATCGTGAGAATTTTCTATTGATGTTTTAGAGGTGTCAGCATGTAGATAGGAAGTGATTTGTACTGCAGATTTCTAAAATGCGTTATCTATAACTTAATTGTATATGTATACATATTATGCATTGTCTCGATCTGTAAATGCATTGTCTATAATAGAATTATGTACGCTTGTGGCTGAAAATATTTCAAGGAGAAGAGTGAATAAAAATTTCTTAACATGAATTTTTGGAGCAATTGTGCAGCATAATATCAAAATGTTTTGTCTTGGAGCAATTGTGCACCATAATATCAAAATGTGTGATACAAATGAATTTTGTAAACAGTATGGGAATGCATTCTAGAATAAATTAACATATACTATATACTAGCGTTTACTTAAGACTCATACGCTACTTGAAATGCTCCTTTCTTAATTCATGATGCATTTTTGTGGCGTGCTTTAGAACATTTGAGGAAATTACAAGTATTTTGTAACTTTATTTTACATGATGACATGTTTTAATTGAAGAAAGGATTATGCTATGTGCCCAGGAAAGACTTCATGGGGGGCAAAATTTCATTTAAAAAATAAACAAAATCCATTGTCTCTATAGAAGAAGAAGCTTCTTTTTCATTGTCTCTCTCACTTACAAATTCTAAATTCTTCTTTTGTCTAATAACAAATTTATCAATCTCACGTCTCAAAATATTCTGATTCAAAAATAAAGTAACAAAATAATATCAATAACCTTGAAAGAACAATTTCATATTTCTTAATTTCTAAAACTTGAAATTACATTAACATTTATCAAATATTTAAACAAACACACTAGAACCATGGAACAAAATAAATATTCAAAATCCAAAACATAATTTAGCAATATTCAAAAATTTAAAAAATTAAGAAACAAATCTCAAAATTAGATAATTAAAATTTAACTTTACCTAGACAAGAGAAGATCCGAAGATTAGATGAAGAAGCCTCAAAATTGGAAGAATTCAAAAAGCTGTCCGTCGGTGAGTCGGTCGGTCTTCTTCCAGACTCCAGTGGCGGATTGGGGATTCCTTCTGCAATCTGCGTTTCCCTTCGTGGCTTCGTCGGTTCTGTACTTCTGTTCACTTTGTTTTTTTTTTGTGTTCTGCCTCCTTTTGAATGACTTACTCCGTATTTTCTCTTTTTTGGGCAATTGGGTGGGCTACTGGGCCGTGTGAAAGTGGGCTGGTCAAGGAAATTATTTAAAACCCAACAGACAAAACGACGTCGTTTTGTCTGTTTTTTTTCTTCGGGAATCAGCTTCTTCTTCCTCTGTGTACCCCAAGGGTTGTACCCCAATTTGTACCCCGCAGTTTTGCACCAACACTTTGTGTTAGTGTAAAACTAATTTTTGTTAAATGCACCAACATTTGTGTCCGTGTGAATTTTTATTAACGCACCAACACTTGTGTCAGTGTAAACCATCGAAATATTTGTGCAAACCTGTGGTGTACAAATGGGGTATATTTTTTGGTGTAAGTGTAGGATGGTCCTTGAACAAAATCAAGATCTGCGTTGTGTATAGGTGTTTATGCACTACATTTTGAATAGGGTGTATACAGTCAAACTGGTAGAGCATTTCAATGAATTACTTTTTGAAGCATCTGTTTCGCAATCCAACGGATACTAGTCAAATAAACTTTGAGTTTTTATGTCTTCCTGTTCTCATTACTTTAGTCTAAATTCTGGATCCCGATTGTTATGAAGAAAAATGCTTTACACATATAATTAGCAATTGCACTCTAGAAAGATTAGATGAACTAAACATTGGCTTCGCACGTGTTTGATAATGCACTTTGACAACATTTTTATACATTCTTGATTATAATTAAATAATTTTTCTAATCCATTAAAGTTTAACTTTTAGAATGATAATAATTGAATTTAAATAAATGATTCATATTCCAAAAAAGAATGACATGCATATTTATACCGCACTAGAATATTTGTTAATTCCCAAACGGTCATACTTTTTTGACAAAGTGAATATTCATGGTTAACTTTTCTTCTCAAAAACTTCATGTGAAAATGAATCACTAACATTGAGAAATTAATGGTAGGATATTGTTTACCCAAATATGCCTAGATCTAATAACTTTTTTGTGCATTTCACCCTAACTAAAAAATTAGAGCAACTTCATGCGAGCAAAATTGTGCAAAACATTAACATTGAACAAAAAAATTGTTTTAGATTTTTATCGATCAGTAGATTTACATTAAGTAATCATCACCTTCCCCACAAAAAGGAAAAAAAGAATAACTAATCATATAGGGTGATAAAGGAATGAAACAAAAAGAAAAGGCAAAGAAATTAAAAATATGGACAACATGGATTCTGGAACTTGACTGTCATATACTATATATAAATCTTTTCGGGAATCCTCAACTCGACGCCGAAAAGAAAAAAGCTGGGGGTTTTGCAAATGAATAGTTCTTGTAAAATTGAATGTCATCATCTAAACAACTGAAAACCATGCCCACTTTTGGTACAAATTCATTGGATCATTCTGGGATCCTGAAAAAACATCTCCATTGGTGATTCTGTGCACTATCAACAAACACAAAATGCATCACAAACAAAAGAGTTAGACATGTCAACATTGATAGAGAAACAAATTAAAAATGTCATATGAAGTAGACTAAAGTCTACATAAGAATTTAATAAATAGTATACTCCATGCCACAATGAACATGAACCGTGAAATTATAGTTTGACATAGCTCAGGAAACATTTAAGCATAATGCAAAAAATGTGGAAATCAAGCTAATGAAAGCTGAAATATACACGCGTGATGCATTTGTGAAACATACGGAGTACTAAATAAAAAAATCAAAATCAAACTTACAAAAAACAGGTATTTGCCATAAGTTGAACACTATGTTTAACCATAAATTTACCATAAAAAAGAAGAGGCGGGGCATGGAAAGGAAGTGAAACAACAATGAATAAAACAAAAATGCCAAAAAATTAACACTACGCTTAACCACAAATTTGCCATAACGAACTACTCCGTATTACATAAAAAATTTACAAAAATCAATAGCAAGGTTTTGATGTCAAATTAAAAAAATAACAACCCACGGTGCATTTCAAACATCCTAAAAAGCATCACTCCAAATACAAAACAAACACTGTTGTTTTACATGCTATAGATCTTTCCAAGATCGCCAGCATGCAAGAGAGCAGAAAATATAAAATTAACTTTACAATGGAGATAGTAGATGAGAAACAAGTCATACCTGAACCCATGAATGTATCTCTCAATAATATGATGTATGAACACCAATGGAATGGATTGAAACTCCTGTTCTGGAGGAAACACCAGTAATGGAATGAAAACCCACTCATTCGAGTATATAGAATATGCACTGTAAATACTTTGTAATGCACTAAATACTTTACAAATTTATTTGAAGTTCTTTATAATGCATAGTAGTAGAATGAGTTATCATTTACCTTAATTCTTAGAATGCATTGGAATCTCATGTAAATGCATTACCTTAACCAAGATAATGCACAATAAAAGGAGAAAGAAAACGAAAATTAAAATTAGAAGAAAAAATAAAAGTAGCAATATATACCCCCAATGAACACCAAATTGGCTATCAGCACTATCAAGGCTAACATTTTTAACAACATAAGAGACAAAAGTAAAAACTAAGAAAAAAACAGCAATATACTCCGTAGTATATTAACCTCCAATGAACACAAAAAATATGTCAACTCACAAGACCAATGCGATTGTAGTATCTAAAGCTACATGATGCACTATCATCTAGTTTAGAATGTAGTATTGTGTGAAATAAAAAATGAAATAATATTAGGCATCTTGTCTGCGGATTCCAAAATGAATCTCATAGATGCAAGAAAACAAAAAAAATGGAGAACAAACAACAAAGTTAAATTTTATTTAAAGCATTGTGAAACATTCAGTATCACAAAACAGTAGACACATTTAGGCTATTTGAATATCAGCATTAAGATGTGTTACAATCTGGGAAAAAATCAAATCCATCTTCCACTCCCACCCTAACCATAAAATCATAGGCGTGACTGATTCCTTTTCCTTCTCATTGGGTGTATGGTGTGTTCGTTGTTCATAATCAATCTTCTAAACTAGTCTAAAATTAGTGTATAGACTCTAGGTGCTATCAAACATTTGTTAAAACAAAGCTTCCCAAAGCTCATTTTCCTTAGATAAGCACTTGTGAACCTATAGTAGAAATCAGTACTCTAAGTCAAAACCAAAAAGACTGAGCAACATAAAAACGACACAGATATAGAATACTTGAATGCAAACTCAGTTTGAGAGCCAAATAATTCAGTTTATAGAATATGCACTGCAGTGTTCTTATAACTCAGTAAAATACTTATTATGATTTAGAAATCAGAGTGAATTCCACAGAATATGTACTGTAAACTATATATAATGCATTAAAGATTTTTTATAATGCATTAAGAATTTTATATTTGTGGAGAAAGTTTGAAATAGGAAAAAAAGTCAGAGGAGTGGGAAAGGTGATGGACATATAAAAGTGCATTGTGAAAGTTGTGAAGTGCATAATCAAGCTCATGGATAGGAGTGCATGCAAAAATAAATATCAAATGAATAACATGTGTATCAAGAAGAATAGAGTGCACAAGCAAAAACCCAAATACTACACCCTTAATGCTAATTTAATATCTCAAACCACCTTGTTATCAATGGCAATCCAAAAACTAAATTTGGTAAGTTACTGTAAAATAGAATAACATTTATCAATGCATACCTAATTGTTTTTAAATGTACTGTGAATACCTTTAATGCAAGTAAGATCAGAAATAGTTAGCAGAGAAAAATAGAACTTGGTTCTAGCGAGAAATGCATCACACAAAGTTAACTTGAAGTAGTCAAATAAGAAATCCTAATAACTTTATTGACTATATAACTGCATTATAAAATCATCAAACCAATCTTCATCCATATTGGATACCACTGCCCAAAATGGTATTAAAAATTGACATATATATGCCAGAAAAAAAGAGAAAAACAAGACATAGTACTTGAATTGAAACAAATATTGAAATTGTCTATTCAACCCCTCCCATCGCGAAAAAGAACTCTTGTTTTCACTTGACTAAAAGAAATTCACAATTACCGCAATTATTAATTGAGAAATTGATACTTGCAACTCACCAAATTTGATATTGTGTGCAGATTAATCTAAAAGAGAGTTTTTTTAAATGAAAGTTGACAAACAAGGAGACTTACTCGAATCGAAAATGGAATCTCTTATCAATGTTATGAACAAACCCTAGCCGAAGATGGAGAGCCTTTGATCGGATAATGAATCCCCTATAGAAGAATGAAATCTTTACGTGACTACGAGGAAGATGGTCGTGTCGAAGGAGCAGATCTTACGAGAATAGATGGGGGAGAGAATATAATGAGATAAGATTGAGATGTGTAAAACCCAAAATGCCCTAGAGGAGTTAGCGCAAGTCAGCACATGCATTATTAGATCTAATGATCCAAATTCATTCTCATTTCTTTCATTAGATCTTATTCTTATTTGAACCAAAACCTATATATATATATATATATATATATATATATATATATATATATATATATAGATTTTGGTTCTGGTGAGAATGCGATCTTAGGAGAGAAATGAGAATGAATCTGGTGCTTTAGATTGTGCGATCTAAGGGTCAGGATTGCATCAAAATTAGGTGCAACAAAATGGTTTGAATGCATCACGTCGAAATGCATCATAATCCTTTGAAAATGCACTATCTCAAAATCTGAGCGCAGGATGCAATCTGAGGCGCACGATGCATCAGATTCAACGGTTAGATTTCATTCTCATTTCTCTCCACAAGGTGCATTCTCACAGGAACCAGCCCCTATATATATATATATATATATATATATATATATATATATATATATGTATGTATGTATGTATGTATGTATGTATATTAAGGAAAAGATTTTTATTCAAGGAAAAAAAGTACAAATGGAGGGGGTGGCCGACCCCAACAAAAGGCCAAAACAAAAGATAAAGGGGCTAAAACAAAAGACCAAATTCAGTACAACAAATAAGGGTAGCTGGCTACTGACTCAAACTTCTTCCTCGTGGCCCAGCAAAAATGTCTTGTTTCTCTTAAAGTTTCCTAATCTGTATCTTTCCATTTCCAAGAGGCAACATACAAATAAAATCTGCCACCCACTCACCCAAGACTTCCTGCCTTCTCACAAAGAGGCTCCAAATTACCCAAAGCCACAGCATAATACAAAACACACCCTGAACCCAAACCCAATGCAGTGCTTCATTTAGAGTATCTTGTTTGTCCCAACCCTCATGAGGTAGGAGAACAAACTAAAATTTATGCAGTTCCTTGCCCGAACACTCTTCCCCCTGTTTCCTAACATTTAGCTTGCAAAAATCTATAGAGAAGACCTAGAGTTGTGTGAGGTCCCCCTGCACCGTTTTTGCCATTACGCTTTTGAAGTAATTTACCTGCCCTGTTCCAAATGCGCAGCTTGCAGTCCCAACTATCATACCCAAACCATTCCTCAATCTTCAATCCCATGCTTTCTTGGTGAAAGGACACCTAAAATGCTGCTAAATTGCATCTGAGTTTGCTCCAAAAGGGAAGTAGGGGCTTGCTTGTAAAGCTCAAGTCTGAGGTCTGATTTTAGAATGTAAAGTGGAGAATAAGACACCACAACTCTTAGTAGAAATTCACGGTGAGAGCTGATTTGAGTTCATGAAAACATCTAAAAAAACTAACCAATCTAACTGGAGCAAACTATACAAAAAAACCACCAGAACAGCAGCTACAAATCAGCAAAAATATTATATATCAAAGAAATCCTCATCATCATAACCCATATCAGATACCTCTCTATGTTTCTTTTTCTTTTTCAACTTCTTTTTCTGACTTTTGGTCATAGGCTTTTTACGAGGGATATGATCTTCTTTTTTGTTTGGAGAGCAGAGCTTGAAAAAACTTATTACCTCATCCTCATGCGACAGGGGATCAGCTAGGTCTTGCTCCTCTTCCCATCCTATTGGTGTGATCCTTCTACCTTGTGCTAGTAATTTGGCCTTGCTTCGTGTCACAATTTGTGAAGGGGAATAAGTCTTTCTGCCCTTGAGTTCCTTGCGAAGATATAAAGGGTGCTTGGGGCATCTTGAGAGGTCAATATGAAGAGGCTTAAGCATAGAGTCAATGAAAACTAAGTCCTCTCCCTCTGAATGTGTGTAGAGAATGGGCCCTTCCCTTTCCTTTGTGTGATCTTCCACTGCATTAAGGTATAAAACCAAGCTCTGGTCATTCAGCTTTGAAAAAGGATCTTCATCCTCCAAGCGTAATGACTCCCGGTCCATATCCTTGTGTAGAACAGCAAACTTGTTATATGAAAGAGGTACAAATGAGGATGCAAAAGGAGATAATAAACTTTTTGATAGTGGTGGAAACAAATCGTTAGAGGAATTTTTTGTTTCTCCCTTATTTAACACCAATTGTCCCTCTGCATCTCTCCCCTCTATCAAAGGGGCATGAAAATCTAGGTCCTCGTTCTCCTTTGAATCTGCAACGGGCAGTGTTGGTGTGCCATTTGCCAAGAGAGCAGTCTGGAAAAGAGCCTGGGGTTCTTTGAGTTCTGTATGAGAATTTGAGGATATTTGAACCTTGCTATCCACTGTTGGCTTTGATACTGAACAAGCTGTGGATAAAGGAGGAGAGTGCCCTGATGAAAAGTTTCGGTCCATCCTTGTTCGAGTCAAAGGAAATGATTAAAAACCTCTTACCCTCTCTCCTTCTCTCTAAGATCTTGATGTAGTATCCTTTGTAATTTGAACCCAGGCTGAGCTCTATTCTTCTATTATCCTCAGTCAGTGAAGTTTCCCACCATTTCCGTTTGGAAAGGAGGGACATTGAATCCAAGATCCATTTGATGGTGTCCAAATCGAACCATAAATGAAACCTTCTACTTCCATAATCCGAGATGCAGAAATTGTTATTGTAGAATGAGTGAAAAAGCTCAAATACCTTCGATTGGGTTTTGAATTTGAATCTAAGGTTTCGGCTGGTTTTAAAATCTGATGATGGAGCTTCAGGGCTGTTGAAAACTAATCTAGAACCACTGAAAACGTATGACTCTTTCTTATCCTTAGATTCAGCATCGCGGAATGGCCATCTTCTAGCTCGGTCTGCGAAACTAGCTTCTCTATTCTTGAGATAAGTCTGTCGGTGAACAATAGATCTCTTCGAGCTTTGTGGGTGTAGAATTCTAAGATTAGGCTGCGTAAATCGAC